TTAATCAATTTATAATCGTTGCTTTAATTAGAGAACAGTAAATTAGTAAAATGAAAATTCAAAAGTTGTTAAGCTTAGTATTTATTGTGTATTTATGTGCTTATTCTTCAGTTAAAGTAAGAATTTTGGCATAATTTTAGTACTATCTTAACAAACCATTCAACAAAATTGACACAATCTTCTGATTTAAAGGCCGATAAAAGAACTAAAGAGTGGTATAAATCTCTATACTCTAAGAATAACGACAATTCTGTTTATGGGTTTGTAACAGAAGAACCAACAATTAAACATCGGTCACAAAAATTGACTCAAACTAAACACATTCGTTACGATTACTATAATTGGAACAATTATTGCGGTCCAAACCATCCATGTACTCAACCAAATGGTATCCAATTATAAATATTTAACTTAATATATTTGTATAATATTATACAGTACAGAAATGCAATTTAATTAAAAGAATAATTCATTATTTGAAATTTCTAACTTGTATCTCTTAAGAATTTTAAGTCTCTCTCTCTCCCTCCCTCTCTCTCTTTCTCTCTCTCCAGAATAATATACAGTAACTTAATTAGAATAACATTGAACTGAATAACCATAAACACAGGTCTAAATGCTAATCCATACGACTGCTGTTCATTCTACAACTGCCACAACTGTCGGGCTTTCAAACAGAGGTGTGCTCCGGGAACTCACTTTAACCGCAAACTATCGGTCTGTGATTATCCTCAACAGGCCGGTTGTGCCACTAATTACTATTATTGTACACCTACCGGTACTTCGTTTAATCCACAATAATTTTAATTATTCCCATTATTTAACCCTTGGTAAATCTATAAATGTTTTACAACTCATTTTGTATTAATTATATTCAAAGGAATTGTAGTTCTAATACTGAAATACATTATCTCGAATATTTTATTTTAATAAATAAAGTAATCAAATGGTTAAAATATCATATATGTTTTATTTTTAATTCATTTATTATTATTATTATTAAATTTTGTACAAATTTCTTGTTTGATGATTATTATTATCCAAATGTAATATCGAATTAAAATGTTGTGATAAATGAAATGAAAATTTCATTTTAAACTCATATAACACATACCTGAGAGTGAAAGTAATTTTTAAGTTAAATATGAATACATTTTTAACATTAATTCGAAATAAGTCTTAGTTTTGAGCAAATAATTAGTTAAGAGTTAAAAATATGTGAATACAATATAAAAACAGGCAGTTTTTATAGTAAGTATCGTAAATATCTTATCACAGAATATATCACTTAATTCTTATAATAAATATCATATGAATAAACAAATATAACAAAAGCCATCAAATATTACCTTAAAAACCAATCAATCATTTCATTACCACTAAAGAGCGTAACCTTTTCTTAGACGAAGAACTATCACAATCTCTGAAGTCGTCATTTGAGTCCATTTGTCGCTCGTGTCGTGCGTTTGGGTGATGTCTGACACGACTTTCAATCTCTTTATTACTACTAATACTATCATTTGAATTATGTCTACAATTCTTTGAATAAAACCTCTGCTTTTGTCCGCAATTATCAGACAAACGACTTTTAACACTAACTCTGTTTGCATTCATTGGACTATTATTTTCAAACAAATCGCTGTTTCCACTGCTTTTGTCTTCAGACAGCGAGTCCTCCGTTACGGATACGGATGAACCGAACTTCTGTTTCCTTCGCTCCAATACAGACGTCTTCGACACATCACTACTCGCACTCAATTTGATCCTTTCTTTTGTCTCCTTCTTGTCGCAGATGTCTTCTCTGCCAGAAGTCACGTCTGAATTGTCGAACAATTCCTTATTATAATTCGTTTGTCGATTGGAATCACAATTCAATTCATTATTATTATCACTCTTTGAGATGTCATTGCAAACAATTGTCTCATCAATTGTCTCACAATTCATGTCAGCGTTTGTAATGTTCTTATCGTTTATCTCATTAGTGGTGGTCGTTGTGGTCATCGAGTGCTTGTCTTCACAGCACTCATCGCTGTCTTCGTCGCTCTCATCGTCGGAATCGTTGCGTTCGTATCGACTGAACCTCTCGGGACCGACACTTCCCTTGTGTTCCCCTCCTTTGGACCCATCCGTCGACGTCTTGTCCACTATTTTAGTGAAACTCTTTGAATGACTGGTTGTCTGACTATCAGCTATTTGTGGCTCGTTTTTGGTCAAAACAATCAGATTTGAATGCTTGGATCCGTTGTTTCGGTGACTATTCTTGAAGTAATTGTTACTTTTGATGGCATTATTGGTGCGCTTCTTGACATCAGCCGTCGCTTTGGATTTGTCTCTTACGGCCATTGACTTCAGTGCAGCCCTTCTCAGCATCTCTTCGTCTTCCTCTTCATCTTCGCCGCGGAATGTCTTCTGAGAGGACTTCGAAGACATCTTAAGCTTATAATTCAAATGTCTGTTCAATGTATGAAATATTTCAACAATTTTATGAGTGAATAGTGTTTGCAATGAAAACATGAATCAATAAAATCTAACCTTTAATTGAAAATTGAGTGAAATTTGTATGAATTATGATTTGAGAGTAAATATAATTAGCAAACAATTGATACTATTTTTCAAATTAATAAACCAATAGTCAGTAAATGAATGCAATTTATGCACAAAAACAATACATTAGTCCACAAAATGGCTAAAAAGCCGTTATTTAGTGCCAAACAGTGTTTACACGTTAGGAGTGCCAAAACGTATGCGCCCTCACCATAAACACCCGCCACTGGCGCCATAATCAGTCATTTATTTGGGCGCTTTGGCGTCAACTTTTATATCAACAAAATATACACGTGTGTAGGCAACCAACAAAATTGAAAATGGTAAATCATCTGGATTCATCTCAAAAAGTTAACTCTTATCACACGGAATATAAATTATGATATAAGTCAGTGGGACGGGAGCCACAGGACGCCACTGCCTTTGGCCTCACTTTTGAGCACTCATTGGTGGCGTTGAGTGAAGGGTTGTCTCCCTTTTGTGCACAATATTTATGTATTCACTCAACAAATCTGTGGACAATATTTTGAAAACACATTCACAGGTCATCGCATGATTCATTTGCATTGATTTGTGCCTGGTCAGTGTGGTCACTATATTGGACCCTTAAATACATTGATTACATTGCAATTGAATGTCATTTTCATAATACAAACAAACAGTTCATACATAAAGTGAAGCATTGGTTGCAGTGTTGACAACAAGTGACTGTAAAACACGTGGCATTCAATTGATTGCATGTTTTTAATTGACTTTTAGATACAAATTGTTTTTGTTTTGAAAATACATTTTTGTGCCTAAATTGACGCAAAATGAGTTCAGCCGACAAGTCAGCCGTCACTTTGAGTCAACTCTTCGCGGAATTGTCTCGATTTGAAGAGATGTCGGACTTCGAGACAGCCCTCAAAGTCACCGAAAAGAGTATGCATTTGAGCCATCATTTGATTGGTTTTGTTAGTTAATTGCATTGTCTTATCGTATCTGTGGTTGCATTTAGTCCTCAAAGAAGACAAGGAGAACCAGAAGGCCATTGAGTGTCAGATTGTGTGTCAAATCCAATTGGGATTATTTCAGGAGGCAATTAATGGCATCAATCATTGCGACCAGAATTTGCTGTAATAAATGGCATTCAATTGATTTGTTTGCTGTGTTTTCACTTTAAATCTATTTCTCATATATTAGACAACAACTGCTGTACGAAAAGGCTTACTGTGAGTATCGACTCAATTATGTGAACGAAGCCATCGATACATTGGACTCAATCAAAGAACCAGACTTTAGAGCAAAAGAACTTCGCGCACAAGCGGTCAGTGGATCAGTTGAGATGATAGTCAACATAATTGACTCAATTGTTTGCATCTCTTATAGTTATACCGTTTGGAAAGATTTGATGAATGCTTTGACCAATACTTGGATTTAATTAAGAATTCTGACGACGACTACGAGGACGAGCGTGAGACCAATTTGGCTGCAGTTGTGGCCAGTCTTAGCATTAATGGTAAGGAGGAGTCGATTAAGTCAAAGCCACAGATAGAGGAACAGACGTATGAACTGATCTACAATAAGGCGTGCGCTCTGTTGGGGTCACATCGCTATGAAGAGGCCCTTCAAAAGCTTAATAGTGCCGAAGGTTTGCATCAAATGATTCATATATTTGAGACAATTATTGACACATTTTGTTCAGACATGTGTCGCAAAACATTGGAAGAGGACGGCGCTACTGAAGAGGAGATAGAGTCAGAGCTGGCAATCATTAGGACTCAAATCGCTTATTGTTATCAATTGCAGAAAAAAGACGAAACCGCTCTTCGGATGTATAACCAGATTCTCAAACAAAAGTGAGTTTTAGTTATCGATTGGTTTACAGTAATTACAACTAATGTTGTGTTCAGACCGAACGACTCGGCGCTGTTGGCCGTTGTGTCCAATAATGTGGTTTCCATTAATAAAGACCAGAATGTCTTCGACTCGAAAAAGAAAATGAAAACCGCTTTGAGTGAGACATTAGAGTCGAAACTGTTTCAACTTCAGCGCCAAACCATTCTCTTTAATAATTGTCTTCTACTCCTTCACACCAATCAAAGCGATTCCGTTCGCAAACAATTGGAAGAAATTAAGAAAAAATTTCCGCAACAGATATCCGAAACCATTCTCTTAGAGGCGGCTCTTCTGTGCAAAGAGAAAAAAGTGTTGGAAGCCATCAAATTCCTCAGAAACGCCACTCAAGAGAACTCCAATTTGTCACTCGAGGTATCATTGGTTTTGACACAACTTCTCATCAAAAATGGAGACATTAGTGACTCGTGTCGTGTATTACGCTCTTTGGGCGAAAACACTTACAAACCGGGAGTTATTTCCACTTTAATTGCTTTATATCTTCATTTGGATGACAAAACGTCCGCCACTTCTCTGCTGACAGAAGCTGTCAAGTGGTACGAGAAGAATATGGTATGACTTGAAGATTGAGACAAAAAACATTATTTCATTGATATGTCTATTGTTTGAAAGGCCGATAGTCCACAACTGTATGCTTTGTATCGAGAAAACGCTCGATTCTTAATGGAGACCAATCAACCGGAAGCAGCCGTCAAACTCTTGGAGAGATTGCGTAAAAATAATCCCCAAAATCCTAAAATTGTTTCACTTTTGATTAGCGCTTATTCGCAATTCAATCCCCAAAAGGCCAACGAGTGAGTCGTTTAAAAATGTTTTAATTTATTTGAATCTTATGTTTAACTAATGTTTAATGTTCTCCAAACAGAATCAGTAAAGATTTGCCACCGATTGAGAGTATTATCAATGAGATAGATGTGGAACAGTTGGAGACAAGCAATTGGTCTCTCGGAGCCAAATATGTGAAGAAGACGACCAAAACGGAGACACCGAATACTAATCCAAACGTGAAGATTGAGAAGAAGAAGAAGAAAAAGAAGAAGATAAGGCTTCCCAAGAACTATGACCCCAAAGTAGAACCCGATCCCGAGAGATGGCTCCCGAGGTATGAGAGGTCCACATATAAGAAGAAGAAAGACAAACGCGGACAACAGAGCGTCGGAAAGGGAACGCAGGGAGCGGTCGGAGAAATGTATGCCTTTAACTGTTATATGATTTATAAATTGGGAATATTTATTGGTTTTGTTCGCTTGATTCCAGTGATCCCAAAGTGATGACTCCGAAGGTGACGACCGCAACGGTTAGCTCTCCTCAGGGGCCGCGACAGCAGAGACCGACTCAGAAGAAGAAAAAGAAGACTCAACGGAGATAACCATTGAATGGATTTATATTTTCATTTTCTATTTAATATATGTTTATTTGAAAATAAATTAAATGAATTATATTTAAAATACAGTTTATGTCACTATAAATGTGCACTCGTTTTAAAATTCATCTCAAATTCATGAGATTTGAATAATTGAATGAAATTCGGGTACAGTATCTCATGGCGACTCGATATTTATATTTGCTTATAATTGGTGTACTTTTCAGAGATTGAAACTTATAGAAATACCCTTCCTATCCATTCCACATACCATTAAAATCACTAAAATCTGAGACTAGTTCAACATTACAATATTTAAATAACGGCTTTTCTAAATTTCTAGTTTTTATTTTCTAAAATAGTTTCTGTCTTATTTACACTTTTATATAATACTGTATACCGTAAATAAATTGTACTGAACAATGATGCGATATATTACTACTGATAATAATAAGTATAACATTTATATAAATATTAAGTTTTAATATCTGAAAGTTTTATAAGTCTTAACCTCTGATTAGTGGCACTTTTTTCCGCAAATAAAGCAACATTTGAGTGAAATGAGAAAATTTGAAATCCTGTACTTTTTTTTGAGTGCAATTGGTTTAAGAGATTAAAACGACTCATTTGAAGACTAGAGAGGCGTCCGATTTGTAAAAATAATTTCAATTTAAAAACTAATAGTATTATAAATAGTTGTCTTAATTAAGGATTAAATTTCTCAAATTTTTTGGTCAGATTGGCGACAGATGTCTGTTTTGCGTGACTGTTGTTTCGCGAAGAAATGACCGGTTTTGTGGTGGGAAGGGGTGGCAAAGGCTTATCTGCTTTGAATTCCGGGACATTCAAAGGCTGCACTTTTGCCAAATCGTTGTCTTGAGTCGAATTATGTGGATGCGGAGGTCGTGGAGGAGGGGGTTGTGATGGACGCGCGTAATGTAAACTCAGAGGTCTTCCCGACGCACTCCTATTAGATGAGCGCATACTTGAGGTCCGAGATATGGATGAGTTAGAAGAGATCGGAGGCGGAGGAGCCGGACGTATGGGACGTAATGAATCGGTTGTGCTCTCAGTGTTGGGCACGGGTGAGGAAATGGTGGTGTTTTTAAAATTAGATCTTGGATTTGAAATTTTGGTCGAGTTTTGCGGTAAATTAGTTGAAATGACAGCAGAATTACTGCACGACTCCATTTCCAGTGATATCGGACTTGAGATCTCTAGAGACTCGGAGTTAAAATTAACGGGAAGTCTCGGAGGCTTTCGATGAGATATCTGTTTGGCTCGGGATTTGATGGCAGACTTACGGGCTTTGATAAACCACCAGTTTTTGATGGAATCGTTATAATTGTATATCAAGAAGGCTGTGATTGCAGTCAACGGCAAAATGACCAAAAATATAATATACATGGCAATCGTCAAGAAATATCCGCTCGTAATAGTGTGGGCACAATATGGAGGCGCGAATCCCGGATAACAGTGACAATTGCCCTGATTATCACACAAACCGTTTTTATTACAATTATCTTCACAGGCGTTGTTTTCAAGGAATCCTTTGATTGAAACACACTTCTGGTTAACACACATTGAATTGGTCCCACATTTGGCACCGTTAGGCACTAACCCCGGATCTATAGTATCTAATCCGAGGTCAATCATAGCTGAACGACAGGCAAGTATTTTGCCTTTGTTGGGAATGAATGATCTGGCTAATATGGCCGCGCTTTCGGTCCCGTATTTCAATTGTTCGCTTTGATGGAAGCAATGAAGTCGACCGCAGATCACATCTGGAAGTTTGCAACTGATATACGACTGGTTTTGCTTCAAATAACCACAGTTTCCATTGGCGTTGCCTTTGATGTTCTGTTGATAACATTTATAATCAGAAACCTCTCCACTCTTTCCCCACAAGAGTTTGCATTGACTCTCACGGGTATCACATCTGCCGTCATAACAGAAGGCAAAGCCTTCGATACATTCGGTTCCGTCCTGTACTTTGAGGTCTTGCGGACAATACTCGGACACTCCGTCACAGAATTCAGTCAAATCACAGTTACCTTTCGCTGGTCTGCAAATCATCTCCTGATTCTTATCTACTATTTTACATTTAGTTTTATCACAACACGAGCCAACAGCGCATTCAGCGCCTGTCGTCAGTTTACAAGTGGTCGCATTACAGCACTTATTATCACACGGACTCCTGAGGCCACAGTCGCACTCCTCTCCCTTCTCCACAAACCCATTGCCACAAAGGGGTCCAAACAGTTGTTGCGGCTTATTATGAAGACAATGATCCATACCCTGCTTGAGTGAGTGCTCCAAGTATTCCACTGAACACGAAGACCAATGCTTAGGGCTAATAGTGCTCGAAGACGGAGCCATAATGCACTTGTCGTCAGCGCACCGACACTTGTCTGAGTCGTGTTCCATCCCGAAGTTGTGGCCCAACTCGTGCGCTACAGTAGTCGCCACAAGACTTGTAATCTAAATAATCATTTATAACAATTAAAACCACATTCAAATGTCTAACAAATATCTATAACTTACTTGACTGTGATCTGTGTTCACTCCACCAGAGTATTCATAAGTGCTGTCAATAAAAAAACCAAATTAAGTCTAAATTTATATAAAACTAACAAACAGTATGAATGCTCACCAAATGGATCCCTTTAGAGCTTTGCCAACAACTCCGCCATCAAACGAAGAGCCCGTTATTAGCTGTGCGTTATCATTGGGATGGATGGATATAAGGCGTTCCCTTCTATAGTGCAAAAAGTTGGTAAGGGTTTGGTCGCCATCAGTCGATAGAGTTATTTCATTCATTTCGGTCCAAATGACAACTCCGACCAAAACCACAAATATATTCAACTGACTGTAAAGCTTTTCATAAAAAATAAATAATTAAAATTCAAGTTCAAAATAAAGTTATAATAAACAAAAACAATAATTACAGCGTTTACTATATTTGCAATCCGTTTACTTCTATCAAAAACAGTGGTCTTATTCTTCTTGTTTTGAGTGAACTAAACATTTGAAAAAATATCATAATATTTAGAAAATTTATTATATAAATCGATAAATTACTGACCACTTCATAATCATTAACAATAACTAATTCGACATAACGTGAACCACTATTACTATCATAAGGATCTGGAATCGATCTCTTATTTCGATTTTCATTGATTAACAAATTAGTAATAGTATCGCCTTTAAAACCTATAAACATTTTCTATAAAATTAGTACAAAAAGTCAATAAAATGTTGTCCAATATTATTACCACATTTGAAGGATGAATGGAGAGAATCGCTGTCTCTAAACACAATCACTGCTCGACTGTTCTCCTTGGGATGGATGTGATATAAATCATTTCCATCGCTAAATACACCACTAATTAACTGATCACATGTTGAAACAGCAGCCCATGAATTGGTACTTTGATTAACTAAATGTCCCCTAAAGTGACAGTCGTTTTGATTCTGTAAATTCATTATCAAGATTTTTAAAAATTGCTTTTTCCAAAAATTCTTTCCTAATTATTTACAATAAAATGAGGCATTGATTTGACATCATTTCCATTTTGACGATGTTTTTCGAAATAATCTCTGGGAATGAGCTGAGAATTTCTTTGTAAATGTAATTCAAATGATTTATTAAAAGCTTTCAATTCAATTCTCAACCCATTATCCACCAAATCTAAAGTCTGGAAAAATTACAAAAACAACATAATTATATTCATAAGTGTATTGAATTTTAATTATTAGGCAATCATTCGCAGACATTAATTTATGCAAAATAACTTGGATTTACTTTAGAAATAAATTTAAAAATTATATTTATCTAATTCTACTGAAAGCAATTCTTAAGAAATATATTTCAATTGATTTTTTCACTATAAGCGCATAAATGTACCGTAATTCAAACTCTCGTTATAATTCTGTAATGTTCTGAATAATAGAGATAATTGCAATAAATTGCTTTAAGTTTTATATTATACCATTACATTTAGATTTTATAAAATCATATATAATGACAGATGCAATCAAATAATTAGCGTACCTTTGATGGGCTTGTAATGTGGTTAAAAGACGGAAACAATTTTGGGAAAACAATTTCATGTCTCGAAAATTCCTTTAAGGGATCTAATAATTAAATAAAAAACATTTTTAATCACAAAATTCTTATGATATAAAGCATTAGATCATAATACTAGAATGTAAATATAATTATTTAAAGAAAAGCACAAAATAAAGTTAAATTTCTTACATTATAAATTATAATATAGAATAACTACTGTATACAGTATAACTATATTATAATATTTGTAACTTATACAGTATAGTTGCACTGTACAGGAATAACAATGAATGGATTTATATTTTCATTTTCTATTTAATATATGTTTATTTGAAAATAAATTAAATGAATTATATTTAAAATACAGTTTATGTCACTATAAATGTGCACTCGTTTTAAAATTCATCTCAAATTTATGAGATTTGAATAATTGAATGAAATTCGGGTACAGTATCTCATGGGGACTCGATATTTATGTTTGCTTATAATTGGTGTACTTTTCAGAGATTGAAACTTATAGAAATACCCTTCCTATCCATTCCACATACCATTAACATTAAAATCACTAAAATCTGAGACTAGTTCAACATTACAATATTTAAATAACGGCTTTTCTAAATTTCTAGTTTTTATTTTCTAAAATAGTTTCTGTCTATTTACACTTTTATATAATACTGTATACCGTAAATAAATTGTACTGAACAATGATGTGATATTTTACTACCGATAATAATAAGTATAACATTTATATAAATATTAAGTTTTAATATCTGAATGTTTTATAAGTCTTAACCTCTGATTAGTCGCACTTTTATCCGCAAATAAAGCAACATTTGAGTGAAATGAGAAAATTTGAAATCCTGTACTTTTTTTTGAGTGCAATTGGTTTAAGAGATTAAAACGACTCATTTGAAGACTAGAGAGGCGTCCGATTTGTAAAA